GGGGGGCGGGGGTGCCGGTGCCAAATCCGCTGGTCGCTTTGTGCCATCACGTGCCTCACCTCCGCGGCCGGGGGCGTCTCGGCCACCACGGCTCATCCGAGCACAGGTGGTGCGCTGAAGAGCGCGCCCAAAGGAGGCCGCCGACCACTAGAGCACCCTCCGCCTCCCCAACACGTACCCGGCGGCCAGCTCCACTTTAGGCCGCGCCATGGCTCTGCCACAGAACGGTACCGAGGTATTGTGGCGCTGCAACGAGTTCCATGAAGCTGGCTTCTTCTCTGTAGCCGCCCTGGCCTCCGGTGCCGGGGAGGCGTCCGAGGCAGTGGGTGTCCTCCGACGGGCACCATGCTGGACCCGGGGGCCCACTCGGGCGCAGCCCGCCGCCCCGGCCCGCTGTATGTCATCCTGGCCCGGAGCCCCAGACAGCGTGGAGCCGCTCGGGCTGCTTAGCGGCGAGGCTCCTTCTCCCCCTCCCCCGCCGCCCCCGCCTCACCTCGGATCAGAGGCCAACCGGCGCGGCGGAGGCAGGTAAACGCCAAAATCATAAACTTGTTGTGGATATACAACTCCTAATTTTTCGCACTTTTTTAGGGGGTGGGGGTGCTGCTGTCGTAACCAATAACCCAAAGCGGCATTCCAAGAGACTTTGTGGAAAACAACTTTTAGTGAGCTGAATTTCACTGTACACCTGTGCAGGGTGGGTGGGTGTTCTAAGCTGGATTTTTAGACAGTCCCCAAGGCTGCTCCTACCATAAGGCGAAGTCTCCCATCCCCCAATCTTCTGCGTACTACTGCATCCAGGTATGCAGACGCGTTGCACACTCACTCGCCATAAGGCACCATGGTAAAAGTAGGTATCTAGGCCCCGGGTGAGTATGCAACCCGTCCGCACGCCTGGATGTAGTACAGTATTCCGGTGGTCGCACCCTGCATTAAGATTATTTTAAGACCGAAAGACTTCAGTAAAATGGTGTTATCGGGAATAATAGAGTTTTGTTAGTTTTGGGAGGAAGAACGGCTGACAAAAACTAAATACGATAAACGGTACTATCACAACTGTCGTTGTCACGAGTAGTTCCTAGACCTGGACTACTAATAATTATTGACCGTCAGGACAACTTTTCGCCAGGATTCGCCCGAAGCAACCAGTTTGCATGGGAAAACTATCGCTCCCCTCGTAAAAATCCTATGCTCGGCCGCTGCTGTCGTCCCCACCCCACCCCCGCTCGTGGCCTACTCCCACCACCTCCACCCCCGCACAGCCGGGCCTCCCGGAGCCGAGCGGAGCGGAGCCGGTGCATCGGCGGGCTGCTCGGGCTGGCCGGCCGGCCGCCCCCGCCCGCCCCGCTGCAGCAGAGCAGCAAGCACAAGCACCACCAGCACCAGCACCACTTCAGTTTGGAGTTGCCACTCCTTGAGGAAGGTCGCTATCGCTCGCGCTCGCATCGCGCTTCCCACCGAGAAGTACTTGTTCGCGTGTGTCATGCGAAGTGCAGTGTGCGAGTAGTGTGTTGGGCGTGTTCGTGTGTGTGTGTGATCTTGTGATAAGGACTGTGAATACTCGTAACCGCCAATATGTTCTACTTTGGGTTCCCGTTTTTCCCCAAATACGATGCCATCACCCCCCTGACCCTCCAGCTGACCAGCAGGTGAGCGCTCCCGCCGCACCCGAGCAAACTGTTCTTGGTGGGCTGTAAGGGTTACAGTGTAGGCTGCCTCTTTACATCCTCTGCGTTTCACATGCCGCCGTTTGTTGCAAGCTCCCAGCTGCAGAAAGTGCGTTGCTAGCCGGCAATGTTTCTAACCCTGTTCTCTTTTCGGTTCCAGGCTGCTGGACACGATCAAGATGCCGGGGCAAAGCCGGGGAGGCTTCCACATCAGCGACATCCTGGAGCTGAACGAGGCCAAGGGCGCAGACGGCGACCACCCCACCCAACACCCTCTATCCAACGGTAAGATTCATACAAGTGAAAAAGTAGAGGGCAAGATAAACTGCGCAAGTTATGAGAGAAAATATGTTGCTAAACTTGTTGTTTGCTTTTCCCTCGCCCAGGCCTCCCCCTGCTGCTGGGCAGCACCCCCCAGGACCTGGTGAACCTCTACAGCCACCCGGCCTTGCTGGGCCACCCCCTGTCCGGGGCGCCCGGCGACCACCTCGGCGGCGGCCTCGGCGGCCACCTCGGCCACCTGGGGCCCCTCACCTCCCTGCACGGCGGCGCTCCCCCGCGGCCCTGGAGCCACGACAACCGGGACCAGCCATCGCCCGCGTCCGATCCAGGTCAGTACCTCACGACTGCGCGCCATGTAGGCCTAGCTCACCCTGTTGAACCTCGTCGCCCACTCTCCTCCTCCTCGCGGTGAAATTGAGCGCGGCATTCCGAGTAAGCCGCCGCACTGCTTTCGGTTGCGCGACGACTGTGCGAGAAACACTGCTGGGGAGTCAATTCGATCATGTCGCGGTGGTGGCCCGGGCGGCCGTTATCGTCGGGGCGTGGCCTCCGCACCCTCCGGCCACCCCTTCCGCCCGCCGAGCCTCGCCCCGGGGGCGGCGACTTAAGCCCATGAGGCGACAGCAAATATTGTCGAGAGACAAAAGCGCGCGCCGCGCTCGCGGCTACTCCATCACTCCCGAGGGGGGAGGCCCGGACAGGGGCGGCCGGGGGTGGATATTGGCCTCACCCTCCTCCGGCCGAAATCTCTGATCGTCGCCGTAAAACTGCGAAACAAATGATTGTGCTGGGACACGCCAGTAATGAAGCGATAAACTCACCACGGCGTCTGGCCCCGGCCCCGGCGGCGGGGGAGGGAGGGGGAGGGAGGGACAACGAGAGAGAGACAGATCGTTAGCGCCGTCCCTCCCTCTCGCTCGCTCGCTCGCTCCCTAAGCCTCGCCGGCACCCTCCTCCTCCCTCAGCAGGGCTTAGCGGGGATTCAATTAACGTCTCTATCGACGCGGCGCGGCCGGCCTTAAGCACACGACACGGATATGTCGTGTCGTTTGAATTGAATTAGCCATCTCGCTCTCTCCCACGCGCCGCGCCGATCCCCGCGGACCAATATCCAGCCTGTAATGGGTGTCCCGCCGCTACGCACACGCGCGGCCGCGTGCTGGGCTGGGGCGCGCCCGGGCGCCTCGCCGCCGTGGTGCAAACTCTCCGGGACACCCATCCGCAGTGACCCGAGTTGGTTGTACGTACAGGTCGCGCCGGACAGACGCACCCCAAAAAACGCGGTTCTTGAATCAAGTGCGCGGGGCTTGAGAGAAGTCCTTGGGCTGGTTAGGATCTAGCCCGTGGACTTGGCTCAGGCCCCGCGCACTTGATTCGAGAACTCCTTTTTTGGGTGCGGGGCAGGCTGCGTTGGCCTGAGCGACCAGTCAGACAGGCAGCCACAGGCAGCCGCAGGTCTGCGCCCAAACATTTGGTCAGGCGTTAAAACGCCCCTCTCTTTGCGTTGGGCGGGGTCGGCTGCCGGTCTGTGTCCACGCGGCCATTGTGTGCTGGCTGGACCAGGGCCGCCTGGTTAAACAGCGTTATTTTTCAAATAAAAATCGTGGAAAAAGGAAACAAGCACGAGTTGTAGTAGTCAGGAAAGGTCCTCCTCGCAGCAGTTGAAACAGCCGGTTTGTCGCTCTTGCTCTCCTGGCGACTTCCCCGACCCTCTGCGCGGAGGGGCGGAGGGATAGAGAGACAGGGAGCGATGGTAATCCGTACGGCCGTAGCCGTGGGGATTAGTTATCACAAGTCCTCCTGCTGACTTCCGATGCGGCTGCGGGCAGAGCCGGTGGTGTCACCGGGCCCTCCGCCCTCCGCCACGTCGGGGCGTGGTGGGCCGGGGATCGTCCACGACACCGGAAGAGCGGACAAAAGGATGCTCACGCAGCTTCCCATTTTGGCCGGCACCCTGCTGGTGCACCCTGGTCCGCGTTAGGAAACTGTCTTCTTCTTTCTCTCTTTCTCCTCTTTCGGCCGTGCTGCTCTCGCTCTCACTCTCTCTCTCCCTTCGATTTTTCTCGCACGTGGACCGGACCTCGGCTGCTTGTATAAACCTGCGCAGTGCTCCGGCATCCGAGTCGGAAAGTCGGAAAGAATGAAAAGCCCTCAACTTTAGCAACGTCAAAAAAGAGGAAGAAAAATATATTTAAGTGCACAGGCCGGCATTGCCTACAAAGTTGTGTCTGTTGGTGTCCTCTTACCCCCCCCCCCCCCCCGCCCCTCAGGCATGAGATGACACAATTTCGTTTTTCCGGCGTGGATAATGTGGCAGGGCTGCCAACTGAAATTATGGCGGTGGGCAGAGGTTGGCTGAACTGCCGCACCTCGACAGCGTCACTCAGGGCCGCACTCCGCCGCACTCTAACGAGTCGCCTCGGGTTTTATTAATCGTCACCTTAACGCATATCGTTGGTGGAAAGGGTAGGGGGAGGGCGTTGAAAAAAACATACATTAAAATCTGGCTTGACATATCACGTCGAATAACATACAAGCGGCTGCAGGGAAGAGAAGAAAGAGAGGGGGAAAGAGGGGGGGGACTTTGTTTCTATGGCGACGAGCTGAGGGTTGTATGTAGGGTGAGTGTGACGCGTCACCCGGCGTCAAATAAAAGATGACAGTTGACATTCGCCTCCCTGCACCCGCGGGCCGTCTTCCATGATGGAACGATGAGCTCTCGTGTCAAAAAACGAAACAAAAACAACATGAGCGCGACGGAGTAAACAAGAAAATAATATTTACTTTAAAGTTCGAGAGAGCTTAATGATGTCCCGCTGCCTCAGGGGGTGGGAGCATTTTCCGGGCAGTTTTCCGCATAGTGAGCCGCCACACCACTCTGCCGTCCTTTATCGCCGACACTAATTACCTTCTGAAACGCTTTTTTTCCGCTGGGCCTAAATAATAGCATAGGGTGTAACCGGCGTAACGGTCGACAGCGCTCCACACCGCGCACGCCTCGCTACAGAGAGATCGATTTTATTTTCTCTCTATGCGGACGAGGTAAAGCACGTGACAAATCGGGTCGTGCGGTGGTGCACCGAGCGGTGCGTGCGCTCGTGGGCCTGAGAGCTCTCTACTCGCACGCACCCAAAACACGGAGCCTGCCGCCGCCGCCGCCTTCTTTTGCGCGCTCAACATGCGTTCGAAACAGCGCATCAACAATTTGACGTGGCCTGTCCGACGGCAAACCCCCCCCGTCGATTCGTCATCCACTTTATTCCTCGGGGCAGGGAGGTGGGGGCGCCGCCGCCGGCCGCAGCGCCATCTTGGCCCGGGCCGCCGGGCCCGCCGGGGCGTTACAAACAGTTCAACAAAGGGTGGCCGGCTCACGGGGCCCGGCCCGCGCCATGCCTGGGGCGGGGCATTCTTCTTATCTCACAAAGATGAGCCTCCGATAGGCTTTGAATGCGTTTATAAACACCACCACCGCCGCTGCGCTACCGGGGCTGCATGGGCCGCCGGTCCACCAGGTCCACGCGACCGCTTAGCGGACCGCTTAGCGGCCGCAGCACATCGCATTGTGGCGGTACGGCCGGACCACAGAGGGCGCGCGGAGCAGGCGGAGCCCCATCCCATCCCATCCCATTCTCTCGCCGCTGCGCCCGTTGTGCGCCCGCTTTCATGTCGCGTCAGATCGTGACACTAGGTTCCGGGCGGGGCGGGGCGGGGCGGCCGCGACGGATTTCATTATAAATAGCCGCAAAATGCTGCTATGCTGCTGCTTGCCGCGTCCCGCTTTGGCTTTCATCACGTCAAAATATAAAACGAGGCGCGCGCGCGCGCTGGAAGCGGGAAGAGATAAAAGTTGTGAAATAGTAGTTTGACGCGGCGTGCGGGCCGGGGCTCCTGCTGTGGGGTAGGACGGCGACGACTCGAGTCACTGCGGCGGGGCCCGCGGGGCAATGGCCTCCCGACCGAAACAAACCCCTTCGACGGACAGAACTCGCTCTGTCTCTGTCTCTCCTGCACGACACGCGCCCCTGTCCCGTCCGATTGGCCCGAGCCCGTCAGATGACTTGTACGCGATCGACAGCCCTCGCGGAGCTCTCGGCGTCGCCCTCGGGCACGCTGCTCACGCTACCGCCGCCGCCGGGTGTCCGTGTCCGTCCAGCGCGGGCGCATCGGGGGTTGCATACGAGTCACGGAAACATGTCATGAGCGGTACCGGCTGGAGAACGCCAACCCCAACGCCAACTCTGACGGCGAACGGCCCGATCGCTGCTTCCTCCACCTGACATATGTACACGTTCGCGGGGGTAGCGGTCGGGGGGGACGGGTGGGCTTGTGATGTACTCGAGGCGGATTACGAAAACCGCAGTCATGCGACGTGTTCTTGGCAGTGTAGTGCTGCTGCTGCTGCTTCATGCTACTTGCCCCCCTCCCCGCCTCCGGTGCGAGTCGCTCCGCGGCAGATGTGGCAGCTGGATCTCCCGATTCGCCGCGCGGAGGTCGCCGGCCAATGAGCGGGCCGCATCTCCCCTCCCCCCGCGCGCGCACACACACACACACACACACACACACACACATGCACAATAGATACATTACCAGGCGTGATAGACGCGCGCAAATACCCACACAACAACCCGTCCCGTGGGGAGGGGGGTGCAGATGCTGGGCGCTCGGTCGGTTGGCGGGGAGGAGTAGGGGGAGGGTGGCGGTGGCGGTGGCGATGTTGCACGCTGATAGGGGAGTGAGCTTAACCTCGTGTTGACAAATCGCTTCTGATTTTGAGGTTAGGGGAGCGCGAGGAGCGCAAGGGGCCGCCGCGGCGCGCAGTGTAACGTTTTAAATGAAGTTTCGTCGGGGAGGGAAGGGGAGGCGACTACACTGCAGCGCGCTGTGCTGTAGTGGTCCTCCTGGGCCACTTAGTTTCTCATCCTGCCCGAGGCCGAGCCCCGCCGGCCCGTGACGGCGTGACTGTCCCTGAGGCGTAACCGTGCCGGGCGATGGGGTTGCGCAGGGTTGCACGAGTGCGAGAGAGATAGTGGGGGCTGCACGGCCAGTGTTGCGACTGCTACAACTTTCGAGAAGGTTGGCAGTCAACACCACTCCTGGAAACGATTCTCTATTTAGTAGCGGAGATTGAGGGAAATTTTAACGTAATGCCGCGGGAAATTTCCTGGCCGTCCTTTGTCCCGTCGCGACGCGAACGCGACGGGGTGATTTGGCTCCGCCCACTCCGCGGATGGGAAAGAGGTGTCCATTGCAGTGTAATGCAGCTTAATGCCATTCAGGCTTTTGAATGGAAAGCCGAGTGTTTTTGTTGTCACCCCCGACCGCGTCCCGATAATGCGTCTGTCTCTGTCTCCCCCGCGCAGCGCGCAGCGAGTGCGAGGGAGTGCGAGGCAGCGGGGCGGCAGCACCCTCGCGAACGCACAGCGCACAGCTGTAACCGATACAGCGGCGCGATGAGGGAGGAGGGGGAAACTGCTGGCAGTGTGGAAAATCAAAACAGGTTCCTGACCGAAACTCTCTTCTCTGTGTTTTCCAGGAATGCTCCCGCCCCAGGGACCTCAGCAAGTCTCCCCGGACAGCACGTCGCACCACAGCGCCAGCCTGGAGACGGCGGGCACCGAGCTGTCCATGGACTCGACGACGTCCTCGCAGCACGCCGCTGACTCCACCCGGGTGAAGCACGAAGCGGCCGCGAACGGCGACGCGACGGCGGCCCACGACCAGAGCGGCGACCGGGGCCGCGACCCCCGGGACCGGGATGACAACTCGGACCAGGACCACGACGACGACGAGATGATCGACGACGATGACATGGAGGCGGGAGAGACGGCCTTCGGCGAGTCCGAGGGCGGCCAGGGCGGCCCGGGCGGCGGCTCCGGCGGCCACCCCGGCGGCGTGCATAAGAAGAGGAAGAGGCGGGTGCTCTTTAGCAAGTCGCAGACCTTCGAGCTCGAGAGGCGCTTCCGGCAGCAGCGCTACCTGTCGGCGCCCGAGCGCGAGCACCTCGCCTCCCTCATCCACCTCACGCCCACGCAGGTCAAGATCTGGTTCCAGAACCACCGGTACAAGACCAAGCGCGCGCAGCAGGAGAAGGGCATCCACGACCAGCACTCGTCCATGACGTCGCTGCCCAGCCCCCGGCGCGTGGCCGTGCCCGTGCTCGTGCGCGACGGCAAGCCCTGCGGCGGCAAGAGCCCCGGCGACCACATGCACCTGCCGCCCTACCCGCACCCCGCGCACGCGGGGCCGCCGCCCAGCCACCACCTGGTGCTGTCCCACCAGACGAGAGGCTGGGCCTGGTAGTGTGCGCAGCGCCAGGCCGCGCCCCGGACCGGACGCCCACCTCTCCCCCATCTGTGATACTCTATCCTGTACAAAAAAAGAAGAGAGACGAGTCGCTCGCGGCGCTCCTTATCGGCACCGTGCGGAAACGTCGTGGCAATTTTACGAAGAGCTGGAGATCTTCAACCTGTTGCGCTCGAGGTTTTTATTGTAACCATGTTTTAGGGGTTTCGGCGGAACTTGAAGCCCAGGTGTTGGTAAAGTTGCGGGCGTTTTCGATGTTGGGCTGACCGCGGTACGCCTCCCCCTTCCTCTTCCTCAATCATTGTGTTCCAAACTACGATGGAAAGGGGCTAGTTTAAAATAAATTTTTGCCTTCTTGTTTCACGTATAGTTTTGTTGTAGTAGTATGTGGTAATGATAGAGATTATATTGATAAGAGTGATAGTTGTAATACTGGTACTATGTGTTGTTATTGTCGTTTTTTGATGTCATGTTCGATCGCTTCTGAATCGCGTGGTGGTTTCAAGGCCCGCTGCGAAAGTGGGTCATTTTGTGATGCAGTGCGCCTGCTAGGGCTAAGTGATGAACAAACTGATCTCTGGGTGTTAGGTCTCTTTTTATTCGTCAGGTTTGTTGTACGTCGATACTCCCTGAGTTTTTGAGATAGTAATACTATTTTCCATTGTGTTCCTATAGAATACACGCAAAGCTATATTTTGCATCGTTACCAAAGAATTTATTCATGCTGTATATTCCCATTTGTATGATATTACATACTAGGCCCTAGGCAAATTCTGTTATAAATTCTTATACGAGTCTGATGCATGCTCTTGTGCAGATACATTTCAAAAGAAACAAGCTTTTTGGGAATTTCCCGAGATAAGTGTACTTATGTCAAACAAATCATTGCATTCCAGACTCGCATACGCATTTCCCCCTGTACAAATTGTAAAGATATCTAAATCCCTATAAATATGTACAGAAAATTTGAAACGGAGTGTGATATGAAATTACGTATTATAAAAGTATATATAAGCATCTCTTTTGCCCTGGTCAGTCATAAATTTGTACATAGAGCATAGAAAATTATAAAGGAGTAGGTATATCTTAAAGATTATAAAAGATGTGTTGTGAACGAATCAAACCAAGTCAACTTGAACTACCGCTATGATTCGAGATCGAATAAAATTAATATCAAGTTACATCTTTGTCCAGGTTGTTTTACATACCGCTCACTCATAACTTGAAAATACGAAACATTAGTAGAGCCGTTGCGACTGCCAGCGCCGAATCTATAACAGAACGGGCGAGTAGGACAGGCCGCATGGAGAGAGGCGTGACCACTAATCGAAAAATCAATACACAACTTTTAGCGAGCACACGCCCACGCAGTACAGTAAAACACCGGCGTTTGGTGGCAGCCCGTTACATTACCGCAGGAAAGATCATTTTCGACGGGAACAATATAGGACGGATACATTCTATACAACGTCACCAGCAGTACGCCATGCTGGCTAGTGCTCCCCACTACTGTGTACTGCAGGAGAGTTTACTCCACCCCTCGGCAAGAGAAGCGAGAGCGAGGCGAGGGTCCGCCCTCCAGACACCTTCCCTTTGTTGGTTTTATACGCACCTATTACACGCCAAACTAGGGAGCGCGACGTTTGCGACCCCCCCCCCCCAGCCACACAGCCACACACACACACTCGCTTGTATGTAGGAGACTACGCGTTCATCAATTACAACATGTAACATTTTCGGGACGTTTGTGCCAATGGCAAGCAAAAGATTGGTGCCCCCGACCCCCCTACCCTAGTACAAAAAAAAAAAGCACCAGCAGCGGTATAAAAAAGAGGCGACTACACATCACACAAGAATAGCATTGGTTTTCTAGAACACCAAAAATGAAGAAATCGGCATCTTGGCTTTGTCCCACTCTCTGTTGGGCAATAATATGACAGGTCGCATGACGCCTACGCGACCATAAAATTCAAATCCGTTAAGCAATGGTGCGGAGATAATCTTCCAGCTTCCAGCGCCGCCCGCTTTTGGTGGAAGCTCGGCTATGATGGCTGCGGTTCGCGCGACATGCATTTGCATCGGGAGGCAGACTGGCTCGGCATCGGCAGCGCAAGAAACTCGTTTGTTCTCCAAGTCTCCTTATTCTGCATGAGAGATGAATGACAGTTTCATATCCACGGAGAGAGGTTAAAAGGTGGCCTGCACTGCATCATGAATGAGATTGCGTTCTTTTCACTCCGTTCCTATGAGAAAAAGTAATCCAAAAGCGTCGTCGTACCGCACCTGAAAGGTTCAACTCTGACTAATGACCCGGTGGCTGTCGGAAAAAGTAGCTCCATAAGAAAAATTACACCCCCCAACCTCAACTTAGCGGACAAGTTTGTTTTGTCTGGAGATACGCCATCACGCGTATAGAAAAAAGAGTGAATCCAAAATGTACTCCAACATTATTATAATCACGATTATATCCCCGGGCGGCGGATAAATGTCGGCGACCTCTCGTAACAAACGATGACGCTGCTCGCGAGTAAGAGCAAAAGTTTCACGGAGTTTGCTGTGAGCAGGGGCGGGCGAGGGGGATTCGGCGGGACGGGCGCACAGAGCAAGGATGGGAGGGACGCAGAAGAAAGAGGAGTTAAAGGAGCAAGAAAATAGCTGCCGCCCCCTACTGCCGGGGCCGCCCGGAGCCGCGCCGGAGCTGCGCCGGGGCCCCGCCGGCTGAGTGACGGGGCTTCCGCATCTACTTTCCTCCCGCTCGCTCACTTACAGCCACTAGGGAACGCCCCGCGGAACGCCCGACGGAACGCCCCCCCCCTTCCCCGCCGCTCCGCGCCGCTACGCCCCAGAGCTCATCGACCGAGCGGGCCCCCCTGCGCGCGCACCCAGCTCAGCCGGCGGCGGCCACGCACTCAGCCTGCGAGGTAGGCAGCGCGCGCGCACGGCTGCGCCACGGGCCTCCTATTGCCTACCACCGCAGGCGCTGGGAGGAGCACGTCGCGCATCATGCACCCCCTTATCTCCCTCCCTTTCTCCCGCTCTGTCTGTCTGTCTGTCTGTCTGTCTGTCTTGTCTGTCTTGTCTGACTGTCTGTCTCTGTAGGGAAGCGGACACCACCGAGTGGCCGGCGCTCTACTTTTCTCCAGCGGCTGCTCCTCGGCCCCTCCAGTGGACCGTGTGTTTTTTTGTGTTCCCTGATTTGTTTCCGGGTGCGGCACGCTCCGGCTGGCCTGCTCCTCCGGGCGCCTCCGGCCGGGCACGCGTTGCCGCCGCTGGACACACTCACCACCCCCCTGCCCCTCTCTCTGCCCTGCAGGCTGCCTGCTCTCAATGAAGCCATCACAAGTAACTGATGATGGATCGACGGCGGTATGACTCTGCATTCGACCCTCGCGATCACCACGGGCCGGCCAACACCACGGTGGTGAGCCGGGTTCACTTCGTCTCTCTCTATGCGATTTTCAAACGGGCGTGAGTGGAAGGTTTTATCATCATTACACCCAGACAATGTAATTTAAACAAAACAAACAATCAAAAAATACAACAACTTTGTGCGGACACGAATCCGCAGCGCGTGATGAGTCCTCTCCTTTCGCCCCTCTTGGGCCGCCCCTGCCGCGCCCTGCTTCCGGAGCGCGCTATTGTGGCCGAGCCAACCAGGTCCCCCGCCACACCCC